CACCTGTGGCTTTACTGGGTGTCTTTCCCTCTCACCAATTCTTGGCCTCCACTGAGACGGCTCCAAGGCTCAGGAGAAATGGGGTGTTCTCTCATGGCCTTGAGTTATAGAGATCTCTGGTATGTCTCAGAGGTGAGTTTTCAGACCCATCTGTGTTCCGGGGTCACATTCACTTCTTTCAGCAGAGCACCATCGTGAGGGTTAATTTCCTATTTTCTCCTCCCTGAGATCTGGGGTGTCTTTTGCCTTTCTGATGAATATCTGTTTTCCTTCTTGAATCAAGTTTCACTGTGTTGGTCTTTCCACACTGTTTCACAATGTTCCAATGGATGAGGCATGCTTGAAAGCCTCTAATCTGCCATCTTGGCAGGGGAATTCTCTTATGCTTCTAATGCACTGTTCTTCTCATTTGAATTTCTTTAAAACTATAACTACTGTTATTTAAGGGCAGAATGAAGTGATCATTTCCCAGCTTTGATGCATCTATAGAAATGTCTAAGACTGACTATCTGTGAAGTTTCTATGCCCCATCCCACCTAGCTCATCCATTCTACTTACTGCCCCATTCATACCCTTCAATCTCTCTGGCCCTGTTTTTTCTTTCCTTCTGCCCCTCTTTCAAAACATTCCATCCTTCCTCTCTATTAGTGTAAATTCCCTGGGGAACAAGCACCAGGCTCCCTGTCTTAAGAACAGAGATCATTTTACTTATTCTTCCTCTCTTCACCTACCTTCCCACTCTCTGTCTTTTATTTATTCTCTCAATCTGATAAACTTCTTGATCTGGGATGTCTCTGACTTTGCATTACCTACTTGCTTTATAGGTGATTCATTGCTCTATAGCCTCACCCAGCTCTTTGTTAAATCTTCCTGATCCCCAGTATGTCTTCCTAGTTCAAGTGAATTGAATAACTATTTATAAAATATCTATTGTGTGCCCAATTCAAAGATGGACTCCAGGCAAATCCAATAAATGAAAAACAAAAAGGTTTGAACTATCATAGAGTTTTAAAGCCTAATTAGGAAGATACTTTGAATATACAAAGAGATGCATAAGAAGACCACATAGGATTTCTGATTGTGGAGTGAGTGACAAATGAAAACATGAAAGAATGAAATGACATATAAAAGATACAAAAATAAATGTGTTCATTGTTCACAGAATAGATTTCTGTAAGCTGGATGGTTAGAGAAGTGTTTGAAGAAGAGGTAAGTCTTGAGGAACACCTTGGGAAGAGCAGAAAACACATAGGTCAAGGGAGTGGGATTGGGGGAAATATATTCTTCTTGCTTTTCCTATTTCAGTGAATAGAAACATCAGGATTATCCCAGACTTATTTCCTATTGCACCCATGTTCAGTCACCAACTCCCATCAGAAACACCCCCAAATCTCTCCCACTGAGTCTGGCCTACTTGTCCACTTGTTTTTTAGATCATTTGTTGCTCTATATTTCTCAGTCTGCTCTTTGAATATACTGCAACCACCTAGTCCAGACCACTATAATATCTTATCTGAATATTGTAATAGCATTAAAAGTTGTACCCCTTGTTCCAGTCTTACTGCCATCCCCCTCTCACTCAATTTATTCTAATAAATATTAAGGTCTCTGTGATGTCCTTGGGTGAGCTGTATAATCTGTCTGTGTCTCTATTTCCATATGTTTATAAAATGGGATAACGTTAATACCTACCTTGAATATTTATTGTGAGGATCAATTAACTTACTACATGTACATCACTTTAGAATGGTCCTTAGCACTTAGGAAGGACACAGTAAATACCTAGCTGTCATTATGACTTTCCAAATAGCTATCAGAGGGATCTACTACCTAATGATGTCATTTTCCATCCTAAATCCCTTCTGTGAATTCCCATGATCTTAGGTAAAGTCTGAACTCTTTAACTGGGCCTACCAATCTCCCACAGTCTGACTTTTCCTCTTTATGTGACCTTAGCACCCATACTTCTCTCTGAGCCTTGGTTCTCCAGTCATGCTGAACAGCTCCCACAATCCAATTGGTTCAAGCTGTATCATGCTCTGTTCACTGATTTTTCTGCACTGTAAAATTCCCTTTCCCACCTAGTTCACTAGTTCACCTAGAGGATAACTCACATTTTAGGACACAGTCCCACTAGACCCAAAGCCACGTGAAGTCAGGGCCATGATGATTTTGCTCAACACAGCACCCCGAGTGCTTAGGGCAATGCATGGCACATGGTCAGTGCTTCATAAACACCCACTCAATAAATAAATGAACAAATGAAAGCATCTCCTTCGCTACAAAACTTCTGCATTGTCTCCTCACCTGCATTCCCTTCACCTGGACGGAGTTTGCTACGGATATCAACATCACTTTCAATGATAGCTTCCTTATGAGTACTTAAGTGGCCTTCATCTCCCCACTGCACTATGAGGTCCCAACATGTGTTCAGCACTGAGCTTGGATACAGTAAACATTCAGCACATCTTTATTAACCAACCGCATGAATCTCTGGAATCTACATTGGTAGACTGCAATGCCATCCTGGAATCCAGCTCCACAAACCTCTAGATTTTTATTCCCATGGTTCCATGTTCCAAAATGTTTTTATCTTTATCTAAAATTTTATTATTCCCAGCTACTCAGGAGGCTGAGGTAGGAGGATCACCTGAGTCCAGGAGGTAGAGGCTGCAGTGAGCCATGATTGTGCCAGTATACTACAGCCTGGGTGACAGAGTGAGACCCTGCCTCAAAAAAAGTATTTATACTTATGTAATGATATATTTCCACATCTTAATGGATCAAAGACTTATGTTACCATAGTGAATTATTATACTTTCAGTCAAAAGTTAGTTACCTTGTACTTTCCTGTTTGTAGACAAATGTATGGTTCTTTGGACTATGTGTAGCATTCAGGTAGCTGCTCAATGCCCCTCACTTCTTCTATCATGTCTTATGTGAGGGGGCCATCAGATGAGCGTTGGAGGAGGTGTGGGACTCCTTCTGAGAGTCTCATAGGACTTGTTTTTATCTAGAGGCACCACTCTCCATGCTGGTGGGGTTTTTTTTTCAGTATCTCCAATCCCCTGTACTGTAACCAAGACAATTCAGTCAACATTTACACAGGAATGCCAAGAGAAGGAAAGAGTCACTGCTCTGCTTTTGGTCTCCAGAATAGAATTTTTGAGTTGTAGCAAGAACCTAGAGCCAGTCTTTGGCCAGAGTAAATAATTTTCTAATATCCTTTATCTTTCACTGGCATGTCCTGGCAGAGTAGATTATAGATCTCCATTCTCAATCGGGGATAGAAAGAACATGAATAATAACATAAGGAAACTTTCTACCATGTGAAATGGAGGTCTTGCAGCCTGGTGGACTAAGGCAAAAAGTGGCAGATTTGGGAGCCAGTGGTCAGAAGAGTATCTGATTTTTTCCTCTGTAGGCTAAATAACTGGGAGTGGGAGTTTGGATAGACTGAAGAAAAAGCTGAGAACAAGGGGAACTTTTGTCTTGTGCCCTTTTTGAGGGAGAACTGAGAACAAAAATGACTCGGAGGGAGTCACACGCCCAACAAGAGTCTGGGTGGGACTAGGTGAGCTAAGGAGTCCCCACACTTTGACCCAGCCAAGAGGACTTGCTAGAAGTTCACTATTCACGCCCTACTATTCCTCAGTCAGTACAAAAGATCCAAGGCCCAGACCAGGCTAGATATCACAAAGTTGAGATCAGCTGGGGCCCTAGAGTATGGATTGGAGATCTTCAGCCCCATCACCATGTTGCCATATGAGGGCCACCATAAAACCTTCAAAGTTTGAGGAAGGAACCAGGCACAGAGGAGGAATCTGAAAAACTAAAATGCCATGAGTTACCCACAAGAAACTGTGTAAACCAGAAGATTCTGAGATGTTGCGGGATGGAGACAGGCAAGAGGTAGGAAGGTCTGGGGAAGAAGGAGCTAAAACGCTTAGTGTGTGTGGCTTCATGGAACATGCAAAGGGGCAGGAAGTACTTGGTCCAAATGAAGTCACCACCCCTGGAGTCTGTCTTAACCATTTAGCTGCCAAGTAAAATTTGGCTCCAGAGACTGGCTTAGGAGCCGGGAAGGGAAATGAAAGGAAGGAGAACAGGGAGTTGTAGCGGACATTAGATTTATTATTCAGGGCTGTCAATCCAGCACCTAACATATGCCTGTCTTAGCATAAATAAATGAATAAATGAATGAATCGTGGGCAAGGCTATAAAAAAGACTGAGAGTGGGGAACAGCAACTTGGGAAGCCATGCCTGTTAGATCCTAATTCACCATCTGATAGTAAATAGTAAGAACATCACTACATAATGATTTTGCTACATTTTACTATTATCTGTACTCTTGGGTTTATTTACGTCTCTTGTTATTTAGGGTTGGCTTCGTGGGTGTGGGACCTGAGCAGTCACACAGGGCCTTGAACTCAGAAGGGCACATATTTGGTTTAATGCTCTGCTGTCATCATCTTAGAACTGTCAATAAATATTTAACCTCACATTTTCATTTTGCACTGGGATTCATAAATTATGAAGCAGGCCTTGGCTGTATCTGTATGGTGGAAATACTATATAATGGTATGCTACTCTGCATCTCTTTCCAATTCAGTGTGCAATGCCCTCATATTGGCAGCTTGAAGTAGCCCACGGGGGACGTTGGTACATGCTGGGAATCAGGGTGAGAACCAGTTGTAAACGTTTGTCAGCACACCGCTGGGCAGATCACAAGATATGAGTATACCGATCACACACCTCCCCCTCACTCTCCCACTCCTGTGCTTTTTTATAGAATTCCGCAGTGGAAAGGAAGGGCTTTTGCATAGCAATTTATTATTTATATGTGACAAGAAAAACAATGACCTCAGCCTTGGTATTATTTCAAAATCTAAACCCGGATCTTCCATGACTGAAAACTGTCCCACTTAAAATACGACACTCCGGGAGGGTATAAGCAGTGGGCTTCAATGAAGGCGTGCGCTGATGGATAGCTGGCAAGATATCCGGGAACGCTAGACTGCCCCCTCTCCCCAGGCCTGAGCTGCTCCTCCCACTGCCCTCCCTCCTTCCCGGGAAGCAGGATCTTCGAGGAGGGCTCGGAGAGGCGGAGGGCTGGGCGGTCCTCCGCCCGCCCGCGGCTGGAGCCAGCGAAGCCCCCTCCCGCCCGGAGCCCGCCGGCGTTGGGCGCCGCGCAGGCGATGGACGCCTCCTGGCTCGAGACGCGCTGGGCGCGGCCCTTGTACCTGGCGTTCGTGTTCTGCCTGGCGCTGGGGCTGCTGCAGGCCGCCAAGCTCTACCTGCAGAGGCAGCGGTTGCTGCGGGACCTGCGCCCCTTCCCCGCGCCCCCCACCCACTGGTTCCACGGGCACCAGAAGGTAGATGGGGAGGTGGGGGTCGTGGGGGAGGGTGCTGCAGAGGGGACCGGCGGGCAGAGGCGGCTGCTGCTTTCCCTTCCTCCCCACCCTGCGTCCTGCACAGCCCTCTGCAGCCCAGCCTGTGGCTGGCTCTCTGCATCTTTTCGTTGCTCTAACTCTCACGCAGCTCTACTGGAAAGGGTCACTAGAGAAGAATCTTAGGGGGTTGTTTAAAGAGCCTGAATATTGAAAAGGGAAGCAAGATGTAACTCAGGTCTGTCTCTATTTACTTCACCAATCTTTTGTATGTAAGTACTGCCTTGTATTGCATGTTATTCTAAAGAACTTACTAATCACAGAAAATGTGTGAAATTGGACATGATCGTTGGCACCCTTAGTCCATTCTAACCAGGTAAAAGTATCTCTCTTTTTCTAAGGTTCTTATGAAGTAAGGAGCAGCCCCAGCCAACCTCTCAACCTCTCAAGAAATACTGATTGGTGGGAATGTGGAAGGTAGAGGAGACTGTTATCTTTTAGTCTCTCTTGTTCTCTGAATCCACTCCCGCCCTTAAGAGATCCCTCATGAATGGCTTGGTGCCACACTCCCAGGAGTGAGTTCTCTTTGTTCTCCTGAGAACTGGTTGCTGAAAAGAGCCTGGCACCTCCTCCCCACCCTTTCCTTCTCTTGACCTGTGATCTCTGCACATGCCCCTCCCACTCACTTCCCCATGAGCGGAAGCAGTCTGAGGTCCTCCCCAAATGCAGATGCTGTGCCATGCTCCTTGTACAGCCATGAGAACTCAGAGGCATGAACCAAATAAACCTCTTTTCCTTATGAATTATCCAGTCTCAGGTATTCCTGTATAGCAACACAAATGGACTAAGATAACATCCACCTGTGAACTTCTTTGTGACAGGTAATTACTTATACCTCATCTTCCATTGTCCCAATATAGTTATACAGTATTTTTTAGCTAAATAGAAAAATTAGTATTTGTATAACTTTGATTATGGTTTTTTTTTAACTACTGATCTAGACAGTCTCCTTTGATTATTTTTTTCTTTTCTCCTAGGGCTCTTCCCTCACCCCATGATGTTGTCAACTTCCTCCTTTTCTCATCTGCTTAGTTTTTCAATTTCTTACTATTTTGTTCCAAATGCTTTCATAGATTTGTCAAACACATCTCAATAATATTTCCAAATATTTAAACATGCCAAATAATCTATCAGTCCATATCCTTTTCTGGAAGTATTTTTCCCACAGACTTCTGTTCCAGTTGGGATGGGTTACTCTTTAGGGCTGGTATACAGATGGTGTTCCAGGACTTCCCATTGATGCTGTCCTGTATTATGTATATCTCCTGTCTCTGAGATACTATGCCTTCTTTTGTTTTCATTGATTTTTTTTTTAGCATCCTTGCCAAAAATCAATTGACCATAAATGTCAAGGTCTATTTCTGAATTTTCAATTCTATTTTGTTGATCTATATGTCTGTCTTTATGCCAGTGCCACACTGTCTTAATTATTGTTGCTTTGTAGTAAGCTTTAAAATCAGAATGTGTAAGTCCTCCTGCTTTGTTCTTTTTAAAGATTATTTTGGCTATTCAGGATCCTTGAGTTTCTATATGAATTTCTATATGAGTTTCTATATGAATCTTTGTCAATTTCTACAAAGAAGCCAACTGGGATTCTGATAGGGATTACATTGAATCTGTAGGTCAGTTTGGGATTATTGCCATTGTAACATTATTAAGTCTTCTGATCCATGAAATGGAATGCCTTTTCATTTATTTAGGTCTTCTTTAATTTTTTAACAATATTTTGCAGTTATCAGAGTATGTTTTTCATTTCTTTTGTTAAATTTATTCCTGAGTGTTTTATTTTTTAATAAATTGTATCTTGATATCATTTCAGATTATCTATTGCATTCATAGTGTTTCAAAGTCTATATTCCCTCTTGACTGTCACTAAATTATTTTTTGTGTTTTAGAGAAGCTTCTATCAAAATTTCACAGATTAGAGATGACTGACAGATTAAACTGTCTAATATTACCATCCCTGCCCATTTACTCAGGTCAGCTTCCTTTTGGTGAATCCCCACTCAACAATTCACAAGGAAAGGAAGATACTATTTTACATAGACAGTAACTTTCTTAATTGAAAGTACATTTCATATGTACATTTCATATGTATATGGGGTACATGTTATATTTTGAAACATGCATACAATGTGTAATTATCTAATCAGAATATTATTTCAAATCTCTTCTACTTATTTTGAAACATGCAAAAATTATCATTAACTATAGTCACCCTACTGTGCTATTAAACACCAGAATTCATTTCTTCTATCTAAAGACAGTAGGATTTTAATTATAGTCATAAGTTTCCAGAAGGAAAATGTATGTGTAGAAGAAATTTCCTGCAAGATGAGAAATTATATTTCTTGCTCTATTCTAGCCATACTGGTCTTCTCTCTATTCCTCAAACATGCCAAAGATATTCTTCCCTCAGAGCTTTGAACATGTTTTTCTTTGGTTAGAATGTTCTCTCTGCAATTTATTCAGGCCTTTGAACATATGTTACCTCCTTAGGGAGGCCCGTCCTGAACACTCAGACTAAAATAGGACCTCTAGTACTCTCTATCCTCTCACCCTGTTTTTATTATCTTGGCCCTTATCACCCTCTGACACTATATTGTGTACTTTTTTGCTTCTTGTTTTATTATCCACCCTCACTAAAATATAAAATCTGTGAGGGGAGGGTCTTTGTTTGCCACTATAAACCCAATGTTTGGTATAGTTGCATAATAGGTGCTTGATAAATCCTTTGTTGAATTATAAATATATCAGATGCTAAATAAATTCACTTATTCAAAGATCTATTGACTACATAAAATAGACCTGGTGATTTAACATTTATTCAGTAGTTAAATGAATCTCAGTCAGCACATGACACTTAGGATGGATATATGCAGGTGCTTATGTGTGTGTGTATGTGTTTGAGTGTGTGTGTGTGTGTGTGTGTGTGTGTGTGTTGGAAGGAGTATGTGTATTTGGATGTAATGTAGGGAGCATCTGTGTAACTAAGTAATAAAGCACTTGGACTCCAGAGTTAAACCTCAGTTTGAATTCTTACTACTGGTTGCCAGCTATATGCCCATGGACAGACTACTTAACCTAGTTTCTAAGGCTCAATTTCTTCATCTGTAAAATGGAATTGTATTTGTATTCACTTCACTTCATAGGGTTTCTGATGTAAATATTAAATGATATAAAATATGAAAAGCACTTAGCAGCACCCAGCTCATGACACTGATAAATGTTAACTATTGCTATTTTGGAGGCACTATAAATTTTCTTAACAGAATTTCCTAAATATGTGTAATACTCATTTTCAAAGGCATTTGGATGCTGCTACAGAGATGAAGAAACATAAATTAGCTTACATATACTACAAGGTTCATGATAGCTTTCTGTCCTTTTTGTCAAATCAGGGGTTTCAAAAAGTGTAACCAAATACTTTCATGTGGTTAGGAGTGTCTATGACTATTTTAAAATCTAAATAAACCTTTAAAAAATCCTCATATTAGATTATAATTTTCATGAGGACAGCAGCTTTGACTTCCTTATATTTCTCTGTGTCTCTGTCATCTGGTCCATGTAATACTCAATAAATACTTGTTTGTTGTTTGTGAATGAATAAATGAAAAAATGTTGACATTGTTGGAAACCGTTACTCTGGATAAGCAATGGCACTTGTTGCTAGCTTGATTATGGCAATGTTAGCAAAAAAGAGTCTGTAGCATTTCAGAAACTAGATTTCAAGAAGCTCAACCCATCACTGGCCCTGAACTACCAAGAAAACACTTCATGGGTTAAAATTGCTAACTGATAACACAGGAGAATTGGAGCCAGAATTTTTATCTCTTCTGAGGATAAGAACAAACAATCATACATCATATGTTGTGTGATTGGTCATGAAAGGAAGAATTTGGCAGCCTTAGGGTTGCTTTGTAGGTAGGAACCTTCACAACTGTGCTCAGGTGGTATAGATGGGCACACTGAAACACACACATGCATCTGCCCCTTACTTTACATAAGTGAATATAAATGAATCTTATTTTCAGTGATTTAGAGAAACAGTTTAAGTGAGCCATTAGTAATCTGCTTATAAAAGCAAAAAGTCTTTCTCTGATTATACTTCACTTATAGATGTTGGAAGCTGAGAGTTTTGTATTTGAGTTTGTGTGAAGCTTCATACATCTGTGTAAATGAGTCTTTCATTGTTGTAGGGGGGAATATTGGATTTTCTTTGCAGATGAAGTTGACAATTTTTTAGAGAGAGGCGTTCACTAATAAGACATAAGAGAGAAGAAAAGGGAAAAGAAATGGTGAGCTGGATGGTAGATCATTTTTCATTTGCTAATGTTTAGTTTCCCACTTAGGAAAGAAATGTTTAGCCTCTAGATTCTGCCCCTAGTCAGTATGATATTGACAGGTGAGTCAGAGAGTGTTACTCGGCTCACTTTACCCTCTGTTGGAACAACAGTTCACAGTATATGTCACTCGACAGTGATGTGGTCTAGGGATACAGCATATATTTATATTGAGAAGGTAAATGCACTAACTTTGTTTAGAAAATTGTCTCCCAAGGTTAGAAATCCCAAAGAAAGTATGTTCACTCACTTCCAGAAAAGAGTCAGATTCCTTTGCCTGGTGGCATTATCCAGGCCCTGAACTCAGCTTGTGTCTATAAGAAAGGACAAGTCTAGCCTGACTGGCTATCTAATTTCCTTTACTTTTTTCACGGCAGTTTCTTCGGGATGACAAAATGGAAAAGCTTGATGAGGTTGTTGAAAAATACCCTCGTGCCTTCCCTTGCTGGATTGGGCCCTTTCAGGCATTTTTCTATATCTATGACCCAGACTATGCAAAGACATTTCTGAGCAGAACAGGTAAGAAAAGAGGAAAATCTCTGGGACCTATTCTTCCTGGGAGTGAAATGCACAGAACCCACAGACAAAATTCTGAAGCTAAGATGGGTGTTAAGAGATGCCAGAGCAAGTATGGAGAGATGACAGTTTTGTTACCAATACTGAAGAAAATTCCCATGTCCTCCCCAGTCCTTTAACTTTTTCAGAACTGCATGGACCCTTTGAGGTCAATGTATCTAAAAACCCAACTCTCATTACCAGACTTGCAGGGGGCTTCCTTTGCCTCTCCTGGTTTTGTGACTTCATTGTCAGCAACACACTGTACCCCTTCCCCCAGTCTTGAATCTTAGTCTTTGGGAGAAATCAGAAGCAGCTCTACCTCAGTTGGCTCAGTATGTAAACCTAAATGCTAGATCATTTATTTACCATTGAACCTCTTGACTTGATTGTGATCCGAATGTTGGCTTTCCTCTTTGCATATTTCTCAACTATGTTCCCTTTTGGGGCATGAGTCATCTACCTCCCCTACACAATCATTTTTTAAGGCTTTCATTATGGATTATTTCATTAAAACACCTTGCTTTTGTTCTGTTAACTTTATAAAACTAAGTTCTCATATTCTCATTTTCTTTTCTGTGTTATTGTATTCATCATCTTTAATAAGCCCTAGAAAAGAAAACCTCCTTTCCCTGACCATCTCCATGTTCCCAGTTCCCTGTTGTGATTTGTCTCATGTTTACCTCTTAAGGACACAAGCTGTAGAACACCTCCACATTAGGGATCACAAGAACAAGAGGTATTGATACCTCATTACCTGGTGTCTGTCAAACCCTCCTCTGATAGTTAATCTGTTTTCCAAAAAGGATATATGTTGTTCCAACTCTTGTTCTGGTAAGTTTACAATCCCCCAGCAATATCTGTTTCAGATAGAGGAACTGTAAACAAAGGAAGAATCTTGGCTTGTGTACCTGTCTGTTTCATGGGACTTGCTGTTTTCTAAACCTCAACCAAGATTTTTGGTTTCTGCAGTCTTTCTAAAGGCTGCAGGGAGTGAACTTTGGGCTCCCTTTTGGTCACTACTTATAGTTGGTGCAGGCAAATGAAGAAAACCTTCACCAACTTTAACTGATAATCAATGCTCTCTCTAATGCTGTCTTTTGTTTCCTCTGCTTGCCTCTGTAGATCTCAAGTCCCAGTACCTGTGCAAGTTCAGAATTCCATGTCTTGGTATGTATGTGCAAATGAGAGATATAATCCAGTCTCATTCAGAGTCCTCTTTCCATAGTAGAGCATCTCAAAGAAATTCAAATCTGAATTCAAAGGTATTAAGAGTAAGATATCAGTACCATGCCACATTGGTTACGATAGTTTTGTAGTGTAATTTGAAGTCAGGTAATGTGATACCTCCAACTTTATTCTTTTTCCTGGCATTTGCTATTTGGGATCCTTTTTAGTTCTGTATGAATTTTGTAATTTTTTTCATAATTCTGTGAAGAATGGTGATAATTTTTTATTTTAAAGATGACATTGATAATTTGATATGAATTGCATTCAATTTGCAGATTGCTTTGGGCAGTATGATCATTTTAACAATATTTACTGTTCCAGTCCATAAGATGGGATTTTTTTCCATTTGATTGCATCCCTGTGATTTCTTTCATCAGTGTTTTGTAGCTCTCTTTGTACAAGATTTTAATCTCCTTGGTTAAATGTATTCGTAGGTAATTTTTTTTGTAGCTATTGTAAATGGAATTGAGTTCTTGATTTGTTTCTTGGCTTGCTTATTATTGGTGTATACTAGTATAAAAACAGACACAAAGATCAATAAAACAGAATAGAGAATCCAGAAATAAAGCCACGTACCTACAACCAACTAATCTATGACAAAGTCAACAAAAATATATTGGAGAGCCATATGTGGAAAAATGAAACTGGACCCCTGTCTTTCACCATATACAAAAAAAAGACCTGAAACTATATAAATCCTAGAAGAGAACATAGGAAAAACTCTTCTGGACATTGGTCCAGGCAAAGAATTTATGACTAATGCACAGCAAAAGAAATCATTAACAGACAACCCACAGAATGGGTGAAAATATTTGCATAATGTATCCAAGAAAGGGCTAATATCCTGAATCTACAATTTAAGAAGAAAAAATAACCTCAGTAAAGAGTGGGCAAAGGACATGAACAGATAGTTTTCAAAAGAAGACAGGCAAGTGGCCAGCATATGAAAAAATGCTCAACTGTCACTAATCATAAAAGACATGCAAACTTAAACCAGTATTTAAAAGTCAAAAAAAACCAAAACTGCTGCTGGCTGCCTCTGCTCTCTGGCTCCAACCTGGTGTCTTCTCTGGAGGAGCCTCAGGCTACCTGGTGCTCGCTGCCCCCTTGCCTCATGGTGGGGTCAGGTCTCCCTGACCCACCTTCCGGCCTCTGCTCACCTGGCCCGGACCGGAAGCGGCACAGCAGGGCCTGGGCCTGGTGCAGAAGGCAGGCATCCATGAGGTCAGACATGGGCGAGAGGCATAAGAACCACAAGTCAGACAAATACCTCTACAAGGACTTTGTAGAGAAGCCTTTGAAGCTAGTCCTCAAAGTAGAAGAGAACGAGGTCACTAAGCTCTCAATAGGAAGCTCGGGAAAGACTCCAGCCTCTTCGAAGACAAAAACAGAAAGCAGCCGGGCTCGGTAGCTCAGCCTATAATCCCGCGCTTTGAGAGGCTGAAGTGAGTGGATTGCCTGAGCCTGCGGGTTCGAGACCCGCCTGGGCTCTTGTTTATTGTAGAGACCTCATCTCTACAATAATTCAAAAAATTAGCCAGGCATGGTAGTGCGCGCCTGTAGTTCCAGCTACTTGAAAGACTGAGACGGAAGGAAGGCCGGAGCCCAGCAGGTCGAGGCTGCGGTGGCCAGGAGCGTGCCACTGTACTCCAGCCTGGGTGACAGAGTGAGACTTCAACTCAAAAAAAAATATATAAAGCAGAAGAAGAGAAAGGAGAGAAGAAGCAGGATCCGGGGGAAGGAAAGGGGAGAAAACCGAGAAGAGTAAAGGAGGATAAAAAGAAGCGAGATCGAGAATGAGGCAGAAAAAGACCTCCAATGTCACATCCCTTCTCAGGACTTGCCTCCTGAGAAGCCTCTCACAAGCTCTTTAGACAAACAAGAAGTAGAACAGTAGCTCCTTCAAAAAACTTTGAATCATCTGACAAGGCAATTGCGGAGAAATGACCCAAGTGCTTTTTTTCACTTCCTGTGACTAATTGCATTGCTCTCAGCTACTCCATGATCATTAAACACCCATATAAAAACAGACACAAAGATCAATAAAACAGAATAGAGAATCCAGAAATAAAGCCACGTACCTACAACCAACTAATCTATGACAAAGTCAACAAAAATATATTGGAGAGCCATATGTGGAAAAATGAAACTGGGCCCCTGTCTTTCACCATATACAAAAAAAAGACCTGAAACACCCAGTGGCTTTACCATGAAAGACAAGATCAAGAACAATGACTACCAGTTCATAAAAGAACTAAAGGATAACTTCAAACTAATGTGTACCCATACCATAGTTTACAACAAACCAGAGACCATTTATTATAAAGCTGCCAAGAAGCTATTGCACTCAGGGATGAAAACTCTTAGTCTGGAAAGAGTTCAGATCCCGAATCAGAGCATAGACTTCATGGCAGACTTGCAAAATACTCAAAAGCAGATAGAACAGACACTTTGCATAGTGGGGGGGGGGGGGGGGGCGGTGGCAGCTAGCCAAGAGAGAGGGGAGACTCAGGAGATGCAGAAGCACAAGCCTTCAAAAGTTCCAGCAAGGAAAATAAAAAGGAAGACAAAGATATGCTTGAAGATAAGCTTAAAAGCAATCATTTATTAAATAGAAAGAGGGCAGGAACTGATTGACCACATCGTTAAAGAATCTGGGGGAAAGTTGACCAGGCGGCTTGTTACTAGTCAGTGAGATTTTGAAAGAAGAAAACTCGATGGAACAATATCATTGGGACTTCTCCATTCTGTGGATCCCATTGTAGGAGAGCCAGGCTACTGCCCTGTGAAACTGGGAATGACTACTGGAAGACTTCAGTTTGGAGTGAATACTTTACAAGTGTTCAAAGAGGATATAAGGAACAAAGTAACTATAGTGTTATGCTTGGATTATGGACCCTACAGTTCTTATGCACCATGTTATGACTCCACATTTGCATATATCGGCAAGGATGATTCCTATTTAATCTATTCAACCTATGGGGAAGACTGATCTCCCAAGCAATTTCAGCATCCATGAGTTTTGGGCCACATGCCAAAATTATCCATATGTTATGACAGATGATTTACTGGATATTTTAATTAAAGGAGGTCATGCTAGGACTTTACAAGAGTTGGAGATGTCATCACCTGCAGATGAAGGCCATACTAGGACACTTGATACAGAAAAATAAAAGGAGATAATAGAAATAGAGCAGCAGGGCATTTGGACTCTAATACCCAGGGCAGGCTCACAGCACTGAAACCAGAAACATACTTTGGCACTCCAGCTGAAGTTTTTGACTCTGAAGAAGAGGAAATGTCCCAGAAGAAACTTGATGAGACCATCAAATTGTTCAGGGAGCTCCAGGAAGCCCAGGATGAACATCTAAACCACAGACTCCCTCCCAATATGATCTGTCTCTTGGGTCCTTTGTACAAAGAAATGCATCTCACTGAACAAGTGACCAATGATCTTAAAGAACTTGCATAGCAAGTAACTCCAAGTGATATTGTAAGCATGCACAGAGTTTGAAAAGCAATGGGGATTTCCATTCCTACCTCCATCATAGAAAACAACTTTGTAGATTTAACAGAAGATTTTGAAGAACCCGAAAAGATTGATGTCACTGAATGTGGACTGATGGGATTTGAAGCCAACTGATATTTGATTACATATTTATGTACTTGTTTTTCCCATTCTTCGCTTGGAAATGCTTTTCAGAAGATACTAAATATTTGTAAATTGTGTTTCCAATTGAACTTTGGAACAATTAATTTTAATGTCCCAGAGATTGGACTTATGTTAGCTAATAAAACTGAACCTGGGACTGTGGGGAAAAAAAACAGATGGTGGTGAGGATGCAGAGAAAAGGAAATGCTTATACACCATTGGTGAGAATGTAAATTAGTACAACCTTTATGGAAAACAGTATGGAGATTTCTCAACTAAAATAGAATTACCATTTAATCCAGCAATCTCACTACTGGGTATCTACCCAAAAGTAAAGAAATCATTATATCACACCTGTACTTGTATGCTTGTCACAGTACTATACACAGTAGCAAAGTTGTGGAATCAGCCTCAGTGTCCATCAGTGGATGATTGGATTAAGAATGTGATGCACACACACATACACACACTCTCACCATGGAATACTACTCAGTTATGAAAGGTGAGATCATACCATTATCCTAAGTGAAATGACTCAGAAACAGAAAGTCAAAAATCACACACTCAAGCCGGGCTCGGTGGCTCAGCCTGTAATCCCATGCCTTTGGGAGGCTGAGGTGAGTAGATTGCCTGAGCCTGCGGGTTTGAGACCCGCCTGGGCATCGAGACCTCATCTCTACATAAATCAAAAAATCAGCCGGGCGTGGTAGCACATGCCTGTAATTCTGGCTACTTGGAAGGCTGAGGCGGAAGGATCGCTGGAGCCCGGCAGGCGAGGCTGCGGTGGCCAGGAGCAGCCACTGCCCTCCAGTCTGGGTGACAGAGTGAGACTCCAACTCCAAAAAAAAATCACACGCTCTCCTTTGTAAGTGGGAGCTAACCAAGAGGTACACATGGACATACCCATTAAGTGGAGTAATAGACATTGAAGACCTTCAAAGGTGAAAGGACGGGAAGGGGGTGAGGATGAAGTACTACCGATTGGATACAATGGACTCTATCAAGTGATGGGCACATTAAAAGCCCAGACTTCATCATTCTGCAATATATTCATGGAACAGAACTGCACTTATACATCTAAATCTATTTTTTTTAAGAATAAAGAAGATCTATAATGAAAGTTATCTAGGAAAGAGGTCAAAGGAGAGCTCTGAGGTAAAAACACCATGACTTTCTAGAAAGCCTCCTTATCCACCTCTTTCCCCAAAGTCCCATTCTCAAGGCAGCTGATGCATGAATCTGTCCTCTCCCTCTCTTTAAAACTGCAGTCTCACCACCCTTTTCCCCCTCTTTCTTCTATGTTTTTATGTCTTTTTGGAGTTCCTTTATTTCCATATACAAACTAGTAAAATGTTGCTATGAAGCACAGTTTGAGAGTGTTCTGTGAGCATATAAATTAAGCTGTTTAGTCATGTGATTGGCGTTTATGTTAGACAAGGAAGGAATTAAATAAAAGAACATAGGCTTGGATTCAGAACCACCTAGATTTGAATCCTGCCTCATCTTATGCTGACTAGTTGAATGTCATCTAAGGGGACTCATATATTCTTTATTCACCTTGTCTTTGAAAATGAAGATGAGAGTCACATTGCTAGGTTGTTGTGAGGATTAAATGAAACACATATTTTCAGTACTTAATGTAAGGGCCAGCAATGTACCAGTGCCAGATCATGCATTCAATGAAGAGTATCAATTATGTATTAACAAACATTAAAGTACTTTAAAATTCAAATCCTTAATGACCACTCTGGCAATAGAACATTGTAAAGCATTAGCCTTGACAAGTATTTTCACTTTGGGTCATTCACAGAGCAGGTATCAGGGAGCGGATATCTAGGGACAAAGTGGACAGTCTTCTGTAGTTCCTTATGAATTTGTGTTCACAGTATAGTTTATGCATTACTTTGGAGTGGAGAGGAGATGAATTCATTTGTTGTGTTTCTACTATCAGCTAGAGAGTAAGCTGGTTACTTTACATATGCACCTCCATTTAATCTGCACAGCTGCATAATGAAGTAGGTATTTATCATCATATTTCATTGTTGAGAACACCAAGCCTCAGGAAGGTTGTCACTTAATTACTACATAGATAGAAATTGGTGATTTCAGGATCAGCTTTTTCACCAGGCTTTGAAATTTATCAGGCTTTGAAATACTTTCTCACAATGTTAAATATATCCATCCCAGGTGTAAGCATCAAAACAAGCCTCCATCTTCATATACAAACACCACTTTGATCTTCCATGGTTTCATAACTGCCTGTGGGTTACAGCCGCTCCATGCTGTCTGTGTTTCTCATCTTCATCACATCTAATGACATGGCCTGAGGTTTTGTGCCTTCTATTTCTTAAGGAAAAGGACTGGTGAATCTAGAAGGGCCCAAATGGTTCCAGCACCGTCAACTACTAACTCCTGGATTCCATTTTAACACCCTGAAAACATATGTTGAGTTGATGGCCCATTCTGTGAACACAATGCTGGTAAGTGAAGGGAGAAAGTGCTGTGGTATGTTGCAAAATGCATCTAACAGGAACTGTATTGGGCATATGTTTAGTGGGTAGTGCAAATTAAAAGCCAATGATTTCTAGAAATTAACCAATGTACCCTTTGAGCAATAGTTGTATAAACCTTTGTTATGTCATTGGGTGACTTGAAAAAAAATCTGGTCTTTTTTCTTAGATATAGTTTGAGATCCCATGGCAGTAAACCAAATACTAAGTGGTGAGATTTAGATATTTTAGGTGTTGTAGGTGACAGGAAAGGAAGGCAGGAGCAGCTATAGCAGCTTCAAATTCAGAGGAGACTTGAACTTACCATGAAATATAAACTGGTCTTGAATACGTAGAGAATATGGATGAGTGAATTTGAGGCAGAATGAATCAGTATGAACGTAAGTTTAGAAGTTGACATGGACTTACCTGATAGCCATAAAGGACTGAGTAAAGGTTGACAATGCTGTATTAAAGTTGAAGATAGAAGTTTCCTCTTTGTTGGTAGCAGAGGATCATTAGGTGCTGACCTGTACCTTCCAACGGGGCAAGGGGACATTGTAGAGGAACATGCCTGTGGGCAGTCTCTGATTTATAAACAAGCTGTATTCCAAAACTCTAGTTGTACAATGGTTTTGATTTTTAAATCAAGTAATTCATTAACACAGTTTTATCATAAGCCTTTCAAATACCACAACCACAAAGTTCCCAGAGGAACCACTGTTAGCAGCTCATTGGTTGGGTTCTCAGCAAAGCTTGCAGAAGTAGACTGAACCTGGTGTCTGCCAGGATTGTGGTAAAAACATGGATGTGAATTCTAGAGGTAGAGATCTAAAGACACCTAGAACCACAAGCTAGACAGGGAGGAGAGCATCTTCTTCCAATTCCAGTGCCATTCAGCTTCAGCACAATTTCAAATCCACCAGTGATTGTATTTGAGTTTTCTCACCAGTTCTAGGAGTGATTTCTGCTCTCCTCATTTCTCAGCCTCACATTTCCCTGGAATTCCTCTCACATGTCTTCCCTCGACTGAATCTTCCAGACCGCCTCATATTTGGAAGTTTCTCCTTGCTCTCGTTTCTTCTAAACTCATTGTTTCTACTTAGTAAAACTTACATAGTTCAGATGAAACCTTTCTGACTAAACAATTGACGCTTGGGTAAACATTTTTAAAACTCCCTTTGCCTTTTGTGTGTGGTCTCCAAGCCTACAGCACATAGCTTAGCTCCTGTGGGTCGACCTGAACTTACACATTTCAATGTATTTGTATTTTTATGTAAAGAATGCTTGTAATGACAAATGCATTTTCAGCTGGGGGCTTTGTGGCAGTTTTTAAAAGTCAGGTAAAGCATTTCAGGCAGTGCAAGTAGGTCTCCTTTTGTGAGAGAGACGTCAAGCCAGGCTGTATTTGTCTGGGAGCAGCCCCCTGCAGCAACTCCTCCCTATACCTTCTCTCTGTCCCCTGCTCTGAATATTAAATATTCCAAGTTTATTTTGAGTGTGGTTATGGTGGTTGAGAGCAGTGGCGGGTATCTGGCAAAGTTGGTGATTGAAGATGGAGCAAGCCCCAGAGAACTCCCCTGGTGGGTATGTGTCTTGTATCAGTGTTTATCTGTCTTATTATGATGATGCTGATCTTGATCTCCTGTGCCAGGATAAGTGGGAGAAGATTTGCAGGACTCAGGACACACCCGTGGAGGTTTATGAGCACATCAACTTGATGGCCCTGGACATAATCATGAAATGTGCTTTCAACCAGGAGACCAACTGCCAGATAAACAGGTCAGTGACAGGAAAACAAAAAAAAATTTTTATGTTCAACATTATCTAAGTCATTTATTATTGACATTGATTTACATTATCCCAACTTTCTCTTCCAGCACCCACGATCCTTATGTCAAGGCCATGCTTGAACTCGGCAGAATCGCATTTTACCCCTTGCACAGCTTATTGGTTCACAATGACATAATTTTCAAATTCAGTCCTAAGGGCCACCGTTTTCAGGAGTTAAGCCAAGTGCTGCATCAGTACACAGGTATTCGTTGGTTTGGGTTGCCCATGTTCATATGCTGTCATGATTTTGCTGTGTCTATCTAGGAGGATAAGCCTCAATGTAAAAAGAGAAAGAAAATCTGCTCTTAGTGGAGTTCTTATATGGACACAGCTCACATTAAATATAACGTGAATCTTTTAGAAGAATTTGCTATACCCATAGAAGTGGTAGTCTTACCAGAACTTTTCTACATATTATACAATTTTTATGAATACAAAATAACATAAGTGGACATTTATGATTTCAAAGCATATGTGGAATATAGCTTTTTAACAGTGATTACAGTAATAATGGCCAGCTAAAAACACTCATGCAGCATAAGAATGACGAGAGGAACAGAGTAAACATGGACATGCATTCAAAAAAAGTTTGATTCAAAAGTAGTTTTAGCAAAACATAAACACAAAAATTAAAATAGATTAAGCTTTGTAAACAATTCAACATTACTATTCATGAATGCCATAACAGAGAATACTTATTAAGCAGTTATTTCTTCTTCTGCCACTTACTAGCAGCATGACTAGGGCAAGTTTCTTACTACTTTCCCCATAAAATGGGGATAAAAAAATAACCTAACCTATAGATTTGTTGTGATTATGACAATTAATATATATAAAACATTTAGGATAGTGCCTGGCACTTAGTAAATGTTAAACATAAATTATAGTTGCTACATCAAATATCTTCAGGAAATTTGCAAGGCACATCAACATATGCACATTCATGCATACATATATATACACACGCACATAGATGTTATAAGGAGGACACTCAGAGAGGCAGGTTAGAAACGAGACACAAATTGGGCATTATAAATAGCAGTAGCTGTCAAATCTTTCTGCATCATGGCCCACACAGAAAAATATTAATATTTATATGGCTCATCGGAGTAAACAGAAGTAGATTGGGGCCTACATAGAACTTGGTGGAAAAGATTCTATTCTTTTTCTTAACTTTTTTATATTATATAATTATGATGAAAAACACAATGCAAAGTATTAGGGAAAATAATAAATGTTAAATTTATTCAAAAATTCAAAAGCTAAATAGTTTCAAAATTGTTTATCTAGTCAAATTTATCAGTCTTTTATTGTATCTGGATTTTTAGTAATCACTAAGTCTTTCTCTATTCCAGGGTTTCTCAACCCTTGGCACTAATGGCCTTTTGGATTGGATAAATCTTTGTTGTTGGGACTTGGGCATTTTAGAATGTTTAGCTGGACCCCTGACATTTACCCACTCAATGTCAGTAGAACTCTGACAGCTGTAGCAGTCAAAAACAGTCTCCAGACATTGCTGAATGTCCCCTGGGATCAAAATTGTTCTTGGCTGAGAACTGCTGCCCTATTCTCAGGTTGAAGAGAAATTCTTTTTTTGCATTTAGATCTCTGATCTATTTAGAGTTTATTCCTATGTGTGTTGTGAAGTATTAATCTAGTTTTTTTCCAAAAGGTTATCCAATGACCCATTGTCATTAATAAGCAGTTCATCTTTTCCAGTGATCTGAGATAACCACCTTTATCATGTTCTAAGCTGACATATGTACTTGTACCTATTTCTGGATGTTCTTTTCTATTCCACTGGTCTCTCTACGAATGTCATACCATTTTAATTAAGGAGATTTTGTACCTTCTTAACATTAATATACTTTATTTTTAAAGAAGTTTTAGGTTAACAGAAAAATTGAGCAGAAAGTATAGAGAGTTCTCATATTTCCTCTCACCCTACCTCCACACAATTTCCCATTAATGTCTTGCATTAGGATAGTACATTTGTTGTCATTGATGAGCCAATATTGTCACATTGTGATTAAGTAAAGTTCATAAAGTTCACTCTTTGAGTTGCACACTCTATGAATTTTGACAAATGTGTAATGATGCGTATCCACCATTACTGTAATATACAGAACAGGTTCACTGACCTAAAATATCCCCTGTGCTCCACCTATTTATTCCCCCTTTCCTCCCTTGGAACCCCTACTAACCACTGATTTTTTTTTTTTTTACTGTCTATGTGGTTTTGCCATTTCCATAATGTCATATGGTTGAAATCATATGGTTTGTAGCCTTCTCTGGCTTATTTCACTTAGCAATATGCATTTGAAGTTTCTCCATATATTTTCGTGGCTTGATAGCTCATTTATTTTAATTGCTAAATAATGTTTTATTGCTTCAATGTACCACAGTTTTTGTCATGTATAGAAGAGTGTTGGTGATTTTCAAGCCTTGACAATTATGAATAAAGCTTCTATAAACATTCATGTGCAGGTTTGGGGGAAAACAAGTTTTCAACTCATTTGGGTAAATGTCAAAGGCACAATTACTGGATCTTATAGTAAGGGTATGTTTAGTTTTGTAAGGAACTGCCAAATTGTATTACAAAATGGCTATAACATTTTGCATCCTCACCAGCAATGAGAGTGCTGCATCATGGCCCTTCACATACTTGGCAGCATTTGGTATTGACAGTGTTTTGGATTGTAACCATTCTAGTGAGTGTGTAGTAGTATCTCATTGCTGTTTTGATTTGCATTTCCCTGATGACAAATGATATTGAGCATCTTTTCATATGCTTATGTGCCATCTGTATTTTTTTTTTTTTTGAAGCAGTGTCTATTAGGATTCTCTGCCCATTTTAATTGTGTCATTGTATCCTTATTGTTAAGTTTCAAGAATTCTTTGCATATTTTGGGTGCCAGTCCTTTATTTAGTGTCCTTTGCAAAGATTCTTCTCCCAATCTGGGCTTGTCTTTTTATTCTCTTAACAGTATCTTTCAGAGATCAGAAGTTTTATAATTTTAACAAAGTTCATCTTATCAGTTTTTTTCTCTCATGAATCATGCTTTGGTGTTTTATCTAAAAAGTCACCACAAAACCCAAGGTCACTCAGATTTTCTTCTATAATATCTTCTAGGTGTTTTATAGTTTTGCATCTTATATTTAGGTCTCTGATCCATTTTGAGTTACTTTTTGTGAAAGCTATAAGATCTGTGTCTAGTCCCCCGTCCCCCACCCCCGGTTATCTATTTGTTCCAACCATTTGTCAAAAAGACTATGCTTTCTCCATTGAGTTGCCGTTGCTCCTTTGCCAAAAATCAGTTGACTGTATTTGTATGGGGCTATTTCTGTATTTGTTATTGTGTTCCCTTGGTATATTTGTCTGTTTTTTTCACCAATACTACACTATTTTGATTATGGTAGTTTTAGAGTAATCTTGGAGTTAAATATTGTCAATCCTCCAATGGTGTTTTCCTATGAAGTTATGTTGGCTATTCTTAATCTTTTCCCATTATATATAAACTTCAGAATCATTTAACTAATATCCACAAAATAACTTGTTGGCATTTTGATTGTAATTGCATTGAATCTATAGATCATGTTGGGAAAAACTGATATTTTGACAATATTGAGACTTCTTACACACACACACACACACACACACACACACACACAAACACACACACACACATTTGCATTTTACACTTAGGTCTGTGATCCATTTTGAGTTACTTTTTGTGAAAGCTTTAAGATCTGTATCTAGATCTACCATTTATCTAAATCTTTTATTTCATCAGAGTTTTATAGTTTTCTTCATATAGGCCTTGTGAATATTTTGTTACATTTAAACCTATTACATTTTCAGAGCTCATGAAAATGGTATTGTGTTTTTAATTCAAATTCCAATTGTGTGTGTGTGTGTGTGTGTGTGTGTGTGTGTGTGTGTATTTTTTTTTTTTTGAGTTGGCGTCTCACTGTGTCGCCCAGACTTGAGTGCAGTGGCCGCTCCTGGCCACCGCAGCCTTGACCTGCTGGGCTCCGGCGATCCTTCTGCCTCAGTCTTCCTAGTAGCCGGAATTACAGGCACGTGCTACCACGCCCAGCTGATTTTTGATTTATTGTAGAGATGAGGTCTCACCAAATTGCCCAGGCGGGTCTCGAACCCGCGGGCTCAGGCAATCCACTCACCTCAGTCTCCCAAAGTGTGGGATTACAGGCTGAGCCACCGAGCCCGACTTCGATTATTTATATTATATAGTTTATAAGAAAGGAATTGACTTTTATATGTTAACCTTGTATCCTACAACCTTGTAATAATTGCGTATTACTTTCCAAACGTTTCTGTTGATTCTTTGAGATTTCCCACAACTATGTCATCTATGAACAAAGACAGTTTTATTTCTTCCTTCCCAATCTGTATACCTTTTATTTCCTTGTCTTATTGTATTAGCTAAGACTTTCAGTACAATGTTGAGCCCACTTTTAAATTTTTTATTTCAACAAGCAAATCATTCTCATTCTCATTTATTGAAATGATTGTTATGTTTGGTCACTTGCTATAATATTATAATTGCCGTGTATATTATGGTACAATTATTGTGTATTTATTTCCTAAGGTTGCCATAACAAATAACTACAAACTGGGTGGCTTAGAACAGAATTTATTCTGTTACAGTTCTGGAGGCTAGAAATACAAAATCAAGGTGTCGGCAGGGCCATATTCTGCCTTGAAGGCTCTAGTTAAGAATCCTTCCTGTCCAGGCTCGTTGTCTCAACCTGTAGTCCCAGCACTTTGGGAGGCCCAGGCGAGTGGATTGCCTGAGCCTGCGTGTTTGAGATTAGCCCGGGCAACTTGGCAAGACCTCGTCTCTACAATAGATTAAAAAATTAGCTGGGCGTGGTACCGCGTGCCTGTAGTTCTGGATCCTTGGAAGGCTGAGGCGGAAGGATCGCCGGAGCCAAGCAGGTTGATGCTAGAGTGGCCGTGAGTATGCCAGCCTGGGCGACAAAGACTCCAATTAAAAAAAAAAAGTCCTTCCTTCCTGTTCCTAACTTCTGGTGTTTGCTGGCAATCCTTGGCATTCCTCAGATTGCAATTGAATCACTCTAATTTCTGCCTCTGTCTTCACATGGTCAGTTTCCCTATACATATCTGGTTTCAAATTTCTTCTTATTAGTTTACCAGTCATTGAATTAAGGCCCACC